AAATGCTGACTTTGCCCCTGCCCTGTCGTGCCGTTACATAGCTGCCGTCACGAAAGGACTCATCATCGTATCTCGCTTCGCTGCTCAATGTTTTTCTACCGGTGGGATACCCGCATAGCGTCAGCGACGATTACCTAGAGTGAGCTACTCCTCTCTTCGCTCTGTCAACCACGTCCAACGCGCCTTGTTTTGCTTCGTTGCGATTAGTAGTCTCCAACTTTTTTGGTCTGAAAATTTTTCAAGGAAAAGAAAGAATATATGTTTTCACTTGAGCAGCGAGCAGCGAACAGCTATGCTCGTGTTGTCGCCCAACGATATGCCTTCATTTGATTTCTTGTCTCGTATTGGACGGGCTAAAGCTGACTACATCCCCTGTGCACGTATCTGAATCTTTCCAAGTTATCAAATATATGTATGTATTCCACCACTATCACGAACTGAAGCTTCCCCCAGGTTTAACAGCTGTTTAGGATTCGCTTCAGGCGTTCTCAAGTTCAATTGCCGGACTACTGGCGTCCCGGGCTGTATTGCAAGGTATTCTACCCATCAAGATTCATCAAACAATGAGAACATGTAAAAATAAACCCTTTTTCCTTTCTTAGGTGTTGGAGTAGGAGATGCATCCGCATCCCCGACAGTAGCGCTGTTGCATAGCGTCCTTCAACACAGCATGGGCAGGATAGCTACAACACTGTTCGCCCATCGTCTAGGGACCTCTCTCGAGCCCGAATGCAAGATGTATAGGCTTGCTGCTGACGTCCTGAATGATTCGGCGTTGATCTTCGATTGCCTTTCTCCAGCACTCCCGAAACGCCTGAGGGTTGTAGTTTTGGCCTTTTCGAGCGTTTTAAGAGCGCTGTGTGGTGTGGCTGCTGGGAGTTCAAAAGCGAGCTTGAGCAGTCATTTTGCGAAGTGGGGAAATTTGGGAGAGTTAAATGCTGTGCGTTTTCCTAACATGTTGGTGATCGCCTTTTCAAGGGCCGCCCAATGAGGGCTTTTCCGTTCCTTTTTCTGCTAGTATTTGTCTGATGCTGACCAAAAGCTCCAGAAAGATTTAAGCCAAGAAACAGTGATATCTCTCTTAGGAATGCTGGTAAGGACATGGGGCGACACGTCCATAACTGGCCACCTTGGGATGCATGCTATGGCTAACTGGCGCGATTACAGTGCGGAAGCGTCGTTGTCTCACACATATCCACCCCTTCCGCAACGTGGACGACTTTGCTGCTTCTCCTCCTAGTACACCTCTCGACGAACTACGCCGCGGTGCGCTCAGTCAACATGACCACTTTGAATCGCCAACGAGCCAACATCGTTTTCTCAACTCTCTTCGAAAAAGGTAGTGTCCTCACCCCAACGGAGGCATCTAAATGCGAAAGAATCTTCGAGCGCGATGGGATTCTCCGCTGGAAAGCATCCCCCGCCGCCCTGGGATATTGTCAAATAGGGGGTTCGTTCCAGGAGTTACTGCGTGGCTCTATACATGGAGCAAATTCCATTCGTGACGTTGGCATTGATATTTACAAACTTCTACGTCTGTTTGAAAAGGAGGAGTATGTCCTATGGTTCAACCCCATTCATAAAAAGGGGACCATAGTCTTGAAAAATAATGTGACCCCTATATCGCAGCTCAAAGCCTGGAGTCATGCGCTGATAGTTGCGAAGCGTTTAACGGATTTGAGGCGAGAAGAAGCTGATATGGTCAACGTGAGCACGGTGGAGAAGGAGGAGGAAGAAGATAAATGGAAACAACGAAATGAAAGTGTTTCCGTCTCCAACTTTACCGACCCAGACACGATGTTCTCGATCCTCGAATCCACGCTGTGCGCCCATTCTGCGAGCTTCGCAGACCAGATCGGAATGCTAACGGATGCTGGGTGGGACGTTGCCACGCCCTCCCTAGAGACTCGACCCGCGAGGAGGTTTGAGGTGGTGGAGTGAGAATATGCCTCAATTTTCCGTCTCGGACAGCATAATCAGAGTGGTGGGCGGCCTCCACGTGTTTCATATCACCTACATAGGTCGCCGGTTATCTTATCTCCCCGGTCAAACCACCAATGGCAATATTTCTACGGCTCACAAAAACCTGGCCATAGAAGCGCCACTGGCCAACCCATGTCAGCCTGACGAGGATTTACGTTCTGGATGCGCATGCCAGTTAGCAATACCCTGTGCGTAAGAACATGGATAACTAACACTCGTTTGAAGGAATCGCATTTAGGTTCTATCTGGGGAAATAGCTGAACCTCCGTCGTTTGGCGGAGTAAAAAACAAAGAAGGAAAAAAAAAATGGGATTCCGGGTCGAATTCCAAATGATCAATCGTCCTCTCGAGGTTTCATATCATAGTTAGTTATATCATACATATATTTCATAACCACGCCACAAACAAGTTTAGGCAGCGCGCACAGGGGCGCAAAAACCGCTTTTCCCAGCCTCCTCTTCCGCCGTAAACTTCTTGAGATACTCACATCTACTGGGAGTCGGCAAACAAACAATGAGTACATGGCGGTAATGTGCGTGCCCGGGACGATCGAGATATTCTCCCCTTTTCCTCACCTGCAGTCTCCTACTGCCTGCATAACTTAGTAGTGCTCTCGTAGAATTTTCTTTTTGTCTTTTTTTCAGAAAATCATTGATACGACATTTAGGATTCCCCATCCCCCGGAATTGTTTTCATTCATTTTTAATAAGTGTACTTACTATATGATAGTTAGTACTCTGACGTATGTACATACATAACTGCGTATAATTGTTCGCAATCCCCCATGCCCTACCTAACCTAACCTAACATTGCGTCATGTACTTCTGTAGAGTTGAGTTTGTTTGATGTAAAGCCCGCGCCACGTGGAAGATCTCGAATGGACTCGGACTCGGACTTTGTTATTGGTTACTGGTTATTGTATTGTATTGTTATTGGTAACTTCAATCAGTCGATTGATTGATTGATTGATTGATTGATTGATTAATCAAATCTCTCTTACAGTAGTTATCCCAAACCCCCGAGAATGGCCGCGGCAAATTAATCGTTGCATCGTCGCCGCACAGTAAGA